CAGTGGCGCTTTAATAGCCCGCCTCTTCTTTTTTACCGCCATAAAAAAAGAGCGACAAGGTCAATTTTGTTAAATGTCCTTGAGCGCTCGGGGTACCGATAATTTTTGCGCAGTTCATCTTTTTGGCTGCATGTCAGGATCTTGGCATCCATTTACATCACCTTCCAGTAATTTGTGTGATAGGTTTAGTCCACACATGTCATTAAAATATACTTAAATGCCACTAAAGCAGTGAATTACATCATGCATACAAAAGCAAGTGATGGCAGTTGAATTTACATGCAAGCAACTGATGGCCACTTCTGGGCTTCTGGCTGATTTTTGCAGTTTGGTTTCTCTTTATTACGTCACTAGTGACAGTTTTTCATTCATGTGCATGTTTTTTCTAAATCATAACGCTGAAAGTACCTTAACACCAACCACCTTTAATAAGCCATCATAATATGTCTGTCATGATGCAATAAAGCTCAAACTTTTTTGAGATTCTGTCTTCGTTACTGGGCAAGTTGTTGGTTATTTTATGTTGCACTTGCATGGTATTGCAGGACTCAGATTTGACAGAACGTTTAAATTTGATACAGCAGAGGTTTAGCTATTCTAAGGTTGCTGACAAAACTTTAGAGAGACCCGAGACACACTGCCAACAGATTCCTTTGGTCTTGTTAAGCACTGAAGATGTGAAAGAGCTGGTAGTGAACGCATCAGGCTACAACTAAAAAGGCATTGTTCATATGGGAAAAGGCCTTCTGAGTAAACTTTCAGTGGCTTTTTTGATGTATGCGGTCCTCAGACAACACGGATAAACTGCTTATGGTGCTTATGTGTTGTTATTCACAGTGATGTTGTGTTTGGGCACTTTTCTTGGCTGGGATTGTCTGATGGTTTCTCCTTGTTGACCCTGCAAAGAAAAGCAGGACAGTCGATATACTGTGGGTCATAACAGATGTGGTAAAACATTGTTAAAAGCCACCAAAGTTCAGCAGTTGGCGCCATAAGCCTCCAACAGACACATAGAATAAATGAATCAGTGGGCATCAGTCAACGTATTCATGCTGTAAATGTTATCTTCCATATCACGTTCAGCATTACCATACCACAAACGATGAAAATATTGAAGTTGCTGAAAGCAATTAGCAGTGATACTGTCTGGTGTGTGTGTGTGTGTGTCCTTTGTTAGCTGGAGGCATATTTGTGTTTGCGTATCTCCATTGTGACGCGTGTAATCCGCATGCTCTCAAATCCAGAGCAGGTGGCCAGGCGTTTGGCGGCCGTGGGGGCACGCAGGGGGCACACTCCTCCTGCTCTCTCTCACACACACAAACACACACACGAACGATCCACAAACGTAACACATATACAGTCGCTCTGTACTGTGTGCTTTTTATATCACCTCAGGGTAGAGGAAACCTATAGAAACACACCTGCATCGGTCACCTTATACATAGTGCCCACAAATACATCCACACACACACACACACCCCCCATTGGATGTTTTTTAAGGGGTGAGAGACCTCTGTGGGAAAGCACGTGCCAGCATTTCCTGTCGAGCCCTCCCTGGCCACCTCCTGCTTGTGTAGGGAGAACAGACACGCTCATCTCCAGGAGCTCTCTCGACGCCCTGAACAGGTGAGCCGAGTCAGGGCGGGGCAGGGAGTGAGGCATCTGTCAGCAAACTGTGCATCCTTCCTCCTTTACTGTCATAGTGTGCCACTTTGTTGAGATGACTTTTACTGAGATCAGCAGGACCTTTTTTTTTATTTGTCAAATGAAGTTTGTCTTAAACGGTTTGTTTAAATAAGTTGGTTCATTCATCACCTCATGTTTAACTGTTGTATTTTTAACTGGTAACATGAAATCTCTTTGAGGTGTATTTCAGTCACAAGTTTGCTTTAAACTAATTTATTCGAGGTAACTGATATAATCAAAATGATGTGCATTCATAAATGGAATACTACAAAGGACTGGTAAACATATCATGGTATACCAGTATATGACAGCCTCCCCACAACCCCAAATTGGGAATGCAGTTAGGAAGATGGATGGATGGATGGATGGATGGATGCCAGTTTCCATCGAACTGCAATCACCCGGCCTCCTCTTCACTGGCATTTCCGTGTGCTCTACAGTAACTTCCCTGACGGAGCTTCACTCATTCATCTGTTTGCGTCAAACGCTTTTAGCTGCAGCTCATTGATGTAAATTTGTCCATTAAATGCATATAATCTGTCATTAAAACATCTCTTTTTTCCTCTTATAAGGAGATTTATGTTTTTTTCCAGCTAATGGTCTGTGTCCATGAGCGCAGAAGTGCTTTGTTGGCTGGATGTCCACTGTGGACATAATCCATGGTGGTGTGTGCTAAAGCCACATGGATGCTTTGAAAAGAAACAAACAAAAAAAAGAAAGAAAGAACGAAACATTAGCTCGGCATTACTTTAATGTATAGCACTAAATCTCTAATGGCAATTCATTCCTTTACATATGCTGGATTTTCTTTAAACCTGTAATCAGCTTTGTGTTTTATGTGTGTTTTTATGGTGCTGTGTTTCATGGAATGACATGTCGCAGCGTTATGAATGTTTCTGGCTCACATGTGTAACACTGGCCATATGGTGGAGACTCCCAGCTCAGGCCAAATGCCAACACTACATATTTTGCTAACATTTTTTTGCATTTTGTATCAGGCTCAGGTCTCGAAAATCAGTTAATTCTGCATAAATTGAGTTATCATAGGGTCAGATTGATGTACAGATGTATCTGATCGATTTCTGTTTTTTATTTATTTATTTTAAAATGAGTTTCTTACTCTGGATGGTTTGAAAAGATGAAAAAAAAATCATCAAAAAAAAGCCTGTTTGCATGCAGAAATACATAGATTTCAGTATGACAGTGGACAACACCGCTGCTCACAAAGCAGTGAAAATAAATGCTTGTTTGTAAAAGTAATTCAAGGAGACGGCGTCAAATTAGAAACCTGCACAGAGAGGGCCCCGATTAAAATACCAAAACAGCATCAACAGAAGGTGAAAGCAGCTATTAATATTAGAACGACACTCAGGAGGTCCGGTAGGCGTGCATTTTATCCAGCGAATTTTGTCATAAACTGGAAAAAAGCCAAATAAGCATACTGATTATGAGGGAGGGCACTTATGCGTAGGTGGGCAGCAGTGTGTTATTGGCAGCATCTGCTCGTGTCCCTGTTAACTGTGAGGAACATGAATGGCATCTTCAGAAAACATATAGAAAAATGTGTTAAGTAAACTAAAATGAGGGCAAAAACAAGGATGTTACACCAATGTGAAATCCACTGAATGTATTTAAATAAAGTTGCTTGATGTAAAGTTGCTGACGAATTCCATTTAAGGCTGCTTTGTGCTTCTACTTCAGCCTTTTTTAAAGGGGAGCTGTCAAACCGTATTATATTTATTTAACAGCTATGGTTACAAGTTACTTTTAAGATTAAGATTTTAAACTAAAAAAAATACAGTGAGTGCATTAAACACCTTTTTGGCTTTCAGCTGACAACCATTGTCAAACTTATGATGCCTTTAAGAGCAGCCTTTCTCCTTTTTCTTCTTCTGTGGTTTTATAGGCAGCTTAAAGAGTTAAAAACTGTCCAGTTTTATTTTTCTCTGACCCTTAAAGCGCTTCTTGGATTTATTCTAGATTAAATCTAAACTGTATATATATAGTGTGCTGTAACCTATCTCTGCTTTAGCCCTCTAAACAGCAGTATTAACTGTCTAATCATGGTAAATTAACAATCATAGAGGTCACATTCTGCAGAACGAGCTCACATTTTGCTCAAAACACTTATAATGTTCTTTAACGCTCTTCTGGTAAAGTCTTTTTATTGTTGTGGCAGTATGCTGGCTGAAGTGCAGAGTCAAAGCACCACTGCTGAGCTTTTTTCTAGCAGGAACAACAGCGGCATTTACAGTTAAAGCAGCTCATGAGACAGTAGCAGCGAGCATTTACACCAGAATGACACGAGGTGCAAATGAAAGCAAATTTAAAACGAGGTCTGCTTTAAAGTGAGCTCCTAGTTGAGTGTTCTGCCACGCTTTAAGTCCCATTAAAGCAACACATGGCGGCATTTAGCGTGTGTGCATCCGATAGAATTTAGTCTAATCTTATCAAATTGTGTAATCCATGAGATGAAATCACTCTAAACGTTACATGGATTAACGTGGATAGAAAAGGTCATGAAGTGTTAACACTCTTTTAGTACTTTTTGAACCATTTAGCATATTTCTCAACCGCCAGTCTGACGACAGCACAGAAACACTATTGTTTCATTCATTTAAATGAGATTCCATGAGTGCTGTTGTTGCGGATGAATTATGTATGTGTTGCTGTGCTGATATGTGATAGACATTGCCTCCCTGGGAATGTAGGACACATACTTATGCATAACAATAGTTTTCGGTTATGTTCTCACCGACTGGCCGTTCATCTCGAAAAATATTCTTTTCTTTTTACGAGAAAGTCTGTTCACTTCATCGTGTGTTTACATTATTTGTCGTAGAAGGAAGCAGGTCCATATCTCAAAACAGACGGTTACTGTATTCAAATGTAGAGGAGGGTCGCCCCAATACCTTTACTGGCTACTTTATTGTTGTATGTCATACGTCTGCCAGGAACACCCTGCAGCTGCACTGGAGGTTTAAAATCAATCAGACAGGCCACTTTTGATAAGCTAAACATCGTTTTTTAATATTTAGTGTTATAATATTTCTCTTTACAGTCTGCAAGGGGCATTTAGGTCTGTTACCAAGAGGAGTCAATCAAAATAGCACATCTTTTTTATGCATGTGCTAATGAACTGATACAGACTCTGTCATGACCAGATGGATACATAGATAGACCACCTTTATATCATCATCATCATCATCATCATCATCATCATCATCATCATCATCATCATCATCATCGGTGTCTTCTTTCTTTTTTTTACAGTGTGTGTTATTACACTGTTATAATAAAATAATATCCACTCTGCTCTTTACTTAACCTAAAGTAAACTGATATAGTACCAAATAGGCTACGTTATTGGTCAATAAAAAATAAAATAAAAGTCTGTAATGACGTCAGTGTCTCAGAAAGCTAATGAAATTGGAACTTTTTTCCTCCCATGTGAAATTTATGTGATATCCTGTTAAATAAGCCCGTACTTCTAAAAGTGTGTTGTGGCACTTCAGGCTACTTTTGTGTCCTTCTCTCGTTACGTTTTGTCACCATCAACAGGAGTTAATTGTTGTTTGTGTGCCCGCTCCGTCGCCGCTGTGAAGTAGGATCGAGACGCACGTCCACTCGGATCTTCTCTTCGCCGGCGGGGAAACCCGGAAATCCCTGGCCGAGAGGAAGTGGTGCCGCTTGGGGAAAGCCCTGCCTCGGGGCGAGGGTCGACAAAATATGCGGGCTTCTCAGCCAAGAAGAAGCTCTTTTTATTATTATTATTCTTAAACATCCTCAAATGCGATGAGAGGATTAATGAAGCGCGTCTGCCTGGCCCATATGTCCTCTTTAGTGCCGTTTGTGCGTAATTAAAACCGAATGGATACTCTGGCCCCCCTCCCGGTTGCCCCCCTCGCTGCAGGAAGACCGACTTACTGCTTTTTTGCTCACATTTATTATAAAACCTGTTGGAGTTTTGACACTGTTGTGACCGATAAAAATAAAAATCCAGACTGCAGTTTATTAGGAACAGGTTTTTGCACTGATTTGTATTGTTTGTTTGTTTGTTCTTATCCGAGAACTGATCAGGAGCTCAACTCTTTATAGATACGTGGATTGAATTATTGAGACCTCAGTTTCGGGATTTTTCTCCATAAATTATAGTCAACATTTCTCATATTATGTTTTGTCCCTATTCATATAAATAATTTTATTCTTCCTCAACTCATCACAGCTGTTCTACATTTTTAATAATATCTATTATTTATCTTACGAATGTCGTCTGCATTTAGGTTTTAGAGCCTGTGCTAATTTCAAGCCTTTTCTCTTTACAAACGATCTGATTAAAACACAGAAGCTTTAAAGTGTTACAGGTATTTAAAATAAATAGATAAGAGCGCTCAAAAGGCTGCAGTCACATTTGTTCCTCTGCGGAAGCATAATTGCGCATCAATTAGTGCTAATTGGGGGTCAACTGAATAATACAAAACCCTTCAGTGGCAGCAAAAAGCCACAGATTTCAATGAACGTTCTGACATCTCATGTCACATCCTAATTAGAGGAGTGACATCAGCCTTCCTATTATTTAATCCACGCACGGGCTCTCTCTTCCTTAAACCCCAAAGCGGCTGGCTATAGGTTTAAGACCACTATACACAAACCCATATGTCAGCAACTGCACATGATGCTGGCTGTGATAACACCGTACTGAGAGTGAATACTTCATCAGGGACCAAGGAAAGCATAAAAGCGTTTGTGGGTAAATATGATTTTCGAAATGAGTCATGTGTGCTCTCTAAATAGTCTTTAAAGAAAAGCCTCCAGAGTTTGGGCCTACAACATATTCAATTAGAGAAAACTACTTTTCCCCTTTTTCTTCATTTCTAAGGAAGGGGAGCGTTTTATTGTGTTATTTGTTTTTGCACTGGCGTTTCAGCGGATGATCACACACACCCTCCGAACCAAACTGATGTTTAACGGAACATTTTGCGCACAACCTGTCTTTAAGCTCGTGTTTGCCCCTGGACTCTTGAGCAAGCACAGCCCGTGTCACATTTCTCCGTGTGAACGGGCCAGTGGCGCGCGTGAATGAAAATGTTGGGATTACCCGCTTTCACGAGACGGGATTAACATAGCTCTGTCATAATTCAAATTCCTCCTTGCCCGGGTAGTTGTGACAGACACGGTGAACTGTGTAGGCAGCTGTGATCAGCAGTAAGAAACCACAATTCAGATAATTAACCGCAAACGATGGCATTCATGTCTGAACTGAATAAACGGAGGCGATAGAATACTGTGTTTTCCCCCCCGATGAAACACGTGATAAAAGAAGAAAGAAACACAAGAAATGGATCAGATGGATGCACAAGTGCAGCCGAGGTGGATCAGTTGAAGTTGTTTTTATTGGGATTTTAGTGTGTTCGTTTGTTGCCCCCCACCCCACCCCCCGCCCTTTACAGCTCGAGTGAAATTCCTCACTGCTTGCTTCATTCATCGTGCACTCCCTATTTTAACTAATATCTCCTTAAAATAATTTATCAACAACACCCGAGACATTAAAAAAACTATCAAATTCACAGCTGGCTCGTGGCACACGGGTTTTGCGCAAAGCGCAATTGCATACAGGTTGTACAAAAAAAATACAGACACAAGGGCAAAATAAACACATCAGGGATTTTATGCTCACACGCACATGGACTGATTGTCTCGTAACTTCCACATATTTTCTCATAAATTAAATAGTGCATCCAGGTTCATGTTCAGAGCTGCTCTCACTCACTCACAGCGCAAGCACACGTTCTCCTGCGCAGCGCTTTCATCAAAGGGGCTCTTCAGCGATCCAGCAAAATTAATAATAAAAACAAAACAAAACAAAAGACAAGAAGGGAGTCTTTAAGTAGCTAAGGAGAAAACATGACCATGTCCCTCAAACTCAACCAAGTTAGGATTCGGATCTTTCGATCTCTTGATCCTTTTCCTCACTTTTGGTTAACAAATTTGTTCCCTTGATCAAAGTTAAGAAGTCAGTGTATTTTTAATAAGTTAGCCCAACACGCGAGACAGCCGCCCGCCAGTCCTCGTCTATGCTTTGCCCCGAGGTAGAAGTTAGGGCCTGTGGTCGTGGTGGTGTGTGAGGGGGGGAAACGCCACACTTGCCTCTCCAAACCTTGGGCTTTAATTTGCCTGTACAGTCTGCAGTTAACGACAGCTGTCCATTTATTTCGTACCCCTCACAACACTTGGAATTTCCACGCTGATTGGTCTTTGTAATCCAGACAGTCCGCGTTGAAATTGAGCTTCCACGAGGAGGCTGTTTGGTCCTTGTAGTCCAGGCAGTCTGCAGAGCCACTGAACCCGAGCCCCGCTGGTCCATACGCCGAGGAGGAGAGGGACGACGCCGGGCTCAGGTGGCTAGACACCCCGTTGCTGCTCATGGGGCTCATGGCAGAGCCTGCGGCGGAGAGCTGGTGGTGCATGGGCGAAAGATAGGAGCTGCAGTCCATCCCCGTGAAGTAGGACGAGGAGCCCGTGTAACCCTGGTTGTAGCCCGTCGCCTGGGTGTAAGTCATGGGGTACGAGCGCTGCATGCAGGAGGAGGAGGAGGTAGACAGTGGGTCTGAGAGCGGGGAGATGGAAGCAGGGCTCCAGATGGACACGGGAGCAGCACTGCTGCTCACAGCCGGGACTGAGGTGCTCGAAGGCGGCGTGAACTGGCCGCTGGCTCCGCTCTCTGAGCTGGCCTCTCGGACTGGCGAGCCTTTCTTTTTCACCGGCCTGCTGACAGCCTTGTTCTGCACGCCAGTCTGGGTTTGCTGGGCCTGCTGGCGATGTTTGGCCCGTCGGTTTTTAAACCACACCTGAGAGAGAATTACTGGGATTATTATAGGTATCATTTTCTTTTAAATGCAATAATGAAAAATAATGTTAAAATAAATAAAGAATTCACACATTAAAATATTGAACACGTAACCGCAGTGGGGTAAATACAAAAATTAGCTGTTTTTCTCATCATCTCACTTCCCTGTAGGAGTAGTATGGGCCATAATTAAATAGAAATGCGAGGAAAAAATATAGCCTATTTTAGAATTACAAGTGAGCACATTCCCAATGGGAATAAATGAGGAAGTAATAATACAGTCTCAGAGGTGTTGTTGTCAACCTCTCCTATGAATGGGGAGCCTCTCTCACCTCTCACTGACACAATTACCAAATATCGACCTCCTTCGGCAGGCTCGCGCTATCAGTTATGCTCACGACTTACTTGCACTCTGGATTCAGGCAGGTTGATCTTTAACGCCACCTCCTCTCTCATGAAGATGTCCGGGTACCGAGTCTTGGCGAACAGATTCTCCAGCACGTCGAGCTGGGCCCGAGTGAAGGTCGTCCTCTCCCTTCTCTGTTTGCGGGGAGTTGCTGATAAGAAATGGGGAGAAAAACATTATTGGCACATCCTCACTTTTAGCACGATTTGAATCCAGCAACTTCTCACCTAGAAATGTTGCCTGTTCCGTATCCTCACCTGAGCATTAAATACAACTATCAGCGTTTCAGCTGAGATAACTCAGCATTCTGTTAAATGTTTTAAACCTGCTGGACACTTTAAGAGACAGTTTTTTTTCTATCGTGAAGTGGTTGCGGGCTTACAGGGTATTACCTTGGTATCCCACGGAAGGATGCAGCAGGTCCACTCCTGAGGTAGATAAGCTCAGTCCGTTCATCGTGTAGGGCGGTTGCTTCAAATAGGACATCATGCTGAGTGTCGGTCAAAGGAGCACCAATGGAAAGAAATAAGAAAAATATCTCAGAAGAGAGGGTTGTTTTTATTTTTTAAAAATCCGGTCGCGTCTCTGTTTACTGAGTCAAGTCGTCCAGGCGAATCTGAAGTGAGACATAACCATTTTTCGCCCTCTTTCTTTCTTTTTAAAGTGAGTTCTTGAAATCAGTCCGCTAATTTTTACGCGCTCCGTGCGCAGAGCTCCGGGTTTAAAGAAGTGGGCGTCCTCTTAAACTGGCAGTGCTCTTAAAGCCAAGTGGAGACCCCCAGCTGTCCGTACCAGACTGAGGATGCTGTCTGGCTGACAGGCGTTTACGCCATCAACCCCCCCATACACAGTGCCTCCCCTCTCCTCACACACACACACACACACACACACTGCTACTATAGCCCCGCCCCACACACCTCCCTCCAACTCCCCACCCCTGAAATACACTCCGCTCCTCCTCTACTAGTACCCACCGAAAACAAAACATTGTCGTTAAAATGCGCGCACACACTGGGCCCCAACCGGGCTCACAATTAGCATAGACCCACAGGTTGGGCGAAGCTAAATAGACAGCTGATTGGGGGACATTTGCAGAGACAAAGCCCAGTGTTGACCGATAAGTAATGCTGATAACAAAAGCCTTCAGGGAACAAACAAAAGAAGCCAGCGCTGCAAACTGAGCAGCTCATTCAAACACAACCGAGCACCTTTACTTCTTTATACCGGCCCTTTGTTTGTTTCCATTAAAAACCTCCCTGAGCATTCAAATGTAACGACATTAAAATACGAAGAACAGATAATTTGAAACACGGAGACATTTACCCCAAAGTGAAGGTTGAAACTCCTCCTTGGAGTATGGACACACACACACACACACACACCCTCTTTCCTTAAAGAATTAGATTTGGAAAGGTGAGACTATCGAAACGTGTTGATTAGAGAGGAGGACTTAATCTAAACAAACAAAGAGATAGCCTTCTCTGTTGATGGTCAATCATTTTAGAGGAGGTCAATTTTACGAGCAAAACAACAACAACAACCCCCC